CTTTTGGAATGATCTTTGTAACATGCCATTTACCTACACTCTAGACTTCTCTGGATTTTAGTATGTTTCTTGCTTGATATTGTTGTAGTTCCATCTTATCTAGGTCATTATCCCTCATTACTCCTGGACAATATTTGATAACCATTCCTTTGTATATAGTATTGTAATAGGTTAGAACCTTTTTATTTAGACAAAAGGGGGAGATGTAGTGGGTAGTCATTCCAGCTTTGATCTGGAAGTTTCAACCCCCATTGAGGCTTCAGTAACAGTCACGCCTACAAGGTGGGGCCGAGAGAGGACCCTGAAGACCTGAGATCCAAATGTGCCTGATCTCTTGGTTCCTGGACCCTGGACGCTGGAGGTAAACCAAGCAGAGTTCTCCAGAGAACATGGCCACTGGACTGCACTACACCTTTCCCAGACCCTGTAACCTATGCCTTCACTTGTAAGTTACCTCACAAAATAAGCAAGATAACTATCAGCAGAGACACCAGGGAGGATGTTGAAAAGTACCAGGACAGGAAAACATGGATAAAACTGCTATGTCTTCTCACCACTGAGGGTCATACTGTGTACCTAAACACATAACAATCAAACTCATATGACCCAAACCATAACCATATTCCAACAAAGAATATGCGACTGACCATAGGTACAACAAAACAACCATTTTGAAGATACAATAATAGATACATTTATTATTCATCTGTTTGTTTGTGGTTGTATGCTTGCTTGTTTACAGAGGATCTCAGGCTGTTATCCAAGTCTACATAGCTAAAGAGGACCTTGAGTTTCTGAGCTTCCCTCATCCATTTCCCCAGTGCCAGGACTACAGGAGTGCACAACCACACTGGGTTTGATGCAACGCTAAGGATCAAACTCAGGGTGCTGTCCATGCTAGACAAGCACTCTGCCACTGAGCCACATCCCTAAGCCCCAGTGTGAAAGTGTGTAGTGATATCTTTCAAGGGTCTCAAAGAGTTTTATCTCATAATTTATAAAGTTAGAAATAAAATGAGGCAAAGAGTTAGGATATAGAAGAAAAATATTATACGGGGAGAAGCCAAAACATCAATACTGAGAGTTCAAGTATTCTTAGACCCATAGAGATAACACACCAATTGAGCCCAGCTTGGAAACTATTCCGTCATCAGATATTTACTACTGAGTCTGCGTCCTCAGACCATCAGTCTCTGTAAGTAGAGACAGGCATGGATGAGGCACAAAACAGGTGTGATTCTTTGGTTTTCTATGTAAAATTGAGTTAAAGAACCAGCATTTGATGCTATGAGGATTTAAAGTTCTTCATGTATCATAACCACATTTTCCCTTGGCTTTTGTTTAGCGTTTGGTTTTCCAGGAGCCTTTGGACTCAGTATGTGGCAGGTTTAGTTCCTTCCATGGAGGCCAATGATTACAAAGAACATTCTAACCACTTTTTGGCTTCAAGGCACCTGCTCAGAGGAAGGCACTGTGCATTGAGGGGGTGGGGAGGAGAGCTTCCTCAAATTACAATACTAACTTTCTAAGGCATATGCTATGGAAAGTCAACCTGCAGAGTCATGTTTCTGCTAACCTAAAACTGCCTAATTTCAACTGCATAAAAATAAGGTAATCTATGCAAGCCCTGGTTTATAACTAAAACCTGCAATAAAAAAGATGACTTCTCATCCAGTAATTTTTTTAAAAGCCTGTGAGATTAATTATTTCCAGCAAAATATAATGCAATGGCTTTGTGAGGTTCTCTGAAAAAAAAAGAAAAGAAAATATTCTCTGAAATTAAGATATAGCTCAAAGTCCTCTAGTAAAAGTAGAAGAATAAAAAAACTTTTACAACTACAAAAAATACACAATGAATAAAATAAAGCTTTTCCTTATTATGTCAGAATTAGCCACATGGGGATCGATAAAGATTTTGAACTTGAAGCCTTCTAAGTAAATCATGTGAACATTTACCTGCACAGTCCTCTGTGTGCCATCAACGTTGACAGACAGTAAGGGTGATGCCAGGTTCCACGTACTGGTCACATTTAGTTTCGACCCATCAACTTCCACCTGTTGTGACACCAAATAAGACTGTTACCATGAAGAAAGACAGGAAACTGATCTCAAGTTCACTGCTGCATGCAAAGCAGCAGCCATTTTAACAGATGGCTTCCAAACAACCTGTCATGTTTACTGCTGCAGCCATGAAAGACAGGGTCCAACAACAGAGTCTTCCCAGCCATCTCTGGGGAGAGGTGAAGGACCTGTGAACAGCTGCCTCTGGGTACTGAGGCTTCAAGTGATTTCCAGTAAGTAACAAACAGCCTTCTAACTCAAAACCTAGCTGGACATGCTACATTTACTGCAATTAAACAGTAATGCATATAAATTCCAGTGACACTTTGCAACCCACACAACAGGGCTTGCATATAATGTCCTCTCCAAGGACCAAGGAAGAACTTTCTCAGTGCTAATTTTAATGATGGATTAAGCATTGTTATCTTAATTAAATACACACCTTAATTAGGCAAGCCTCTCTGGTGCTGAGCAGCCAGTATATTCAAACTTTGAAAAGTTCTACCATACAGTTTATAATCATTAAAAAAAAAAATTATTGTTTGTTTTTTTTGAGACAGGGATTCTCTGTGTAGCTCTGGCTGTCCTGGAACACTTTTTGTAGATCAGGTTGGCCTTGAACTTGCAGAGATTCGCCTGCCTCCTGAATGCTGAGATTAAAGGCAAGCAACACCATGTGCAGCCCAGTAATTTTTACCAAATTATCATCAAAAACAAAAAGGCCGTAATTTTTCAAATCACAGGTACAATTAGAGAGGCATTTTTAATTTCTAAGTAAGTAACATAAAAGCAGTTGAAAGGAAAAAAAGTCAAGGTTAACTTAAAACACTCACCAAAGGTTTTTCCTAACTCTGGTACAAGAGATAGGCTGCAAACAACACTACTATGCTGCTGGGGGGCCCTTTTGGTCAGAGGCTACGGTCTACCACAGCCTGGCAGCTCTCAGAGCTTGGCAACATGGATGACAACCAACCCCACCCCCCGCCCCAGACCCCCTGGCAGAAGGTGCCCTGTTCTCTACCTGACCTTATCTGAAGACTGTTTCTAGGCCCAGTGCCTGACTATCTCTAGTGTGACCCGGGATACAGTTCTCTATAGAAGCTTCCCCTGCTGCCCATATGGCAATTAGATACTGTGCTAGGAACATTACTATAGCACTGTGCTTCCACATATGATAGCTAAGACTTATACTAGGAGTTTTATGACAGAAGTGTGCTATGCAAATCAAGTCCCCATCTACCACCCCAATCCTATATATTCCCTATACTCAAATAAAGCTTAAGTCATCTCCTAGAGTGCTATCTCCATTCTATTCACAGACTGGATAAGACCCTGCTTGATGCTGCTTCTCCCTTTGCCCCTCCCCACCCCCGCCATGGCTCAGTGGCCAATGGACTTTGGGGAAGGAGGAAAACTGCATGGTTCTAGGCCTATACACACCCGCACAAGTTGCCTAAAGCAGATCCAAGATGCATGGCTGCTAACAATCCCCCACTGTCAACCAAACTGCACACCCACTCTGTAAAATTAGATGTCAGTGTTCCATTGTCTTTCTATTGGACCCTTGGGGATAGATAAAGAGACAACAGTGAACAAAGCCTTGCTGAAACATTCCTGTCAAGTACTGGCTACCCTAAAAGGATCCAAGCTTGAGGACACAGCCAGAGAAGTTGACTAAAGAAGTGAGTCCACTTCCATGATAGGAATCTAGAAGTTTCTACATGTCTTAGTAGATCAGTAAGGTCTAAGACAGGTGAGGACCACATGACACAGGAGATTCCATGGCTGCAGGCCCACAGCAGGGACTGTAGCAGGAGAAGTCTTTTCAATGCAGTCACAGCACAGAAAAGCTCAAATGAGACCATGAGTTGCTACTCAACAGCTAATGGTCCACAGCCCAGCAGCACAGACTTGGAAGGCTCTCTGCCCCACCATCATCATCTTGATTTGGCTCTGACCACTGTTCCAATGCCTCTGGCACATGCACCTAAGCTCTACTTTGATGGGATCTGGGGGCAGAGGAAGAAACCTGAAACAACAGTGCCTGGAAAAGTTGTCTTTGCACAAAAGGAAATCATAATCCAGTTTACATGGAAGCTTGTCTTCTTTCCTCCCTACTAACAGTAGAGAGGTCTTATAAGAAAGACTCTACAGGACTGAGAAAAAAAAGGGACCACATTTCCGTATACACTAGATAAGAAATCAGCACAGATTTGTGATTTCACTACCTCTGAAGCAAGGACACTATCAAAACTCCAGAAATAAATATTTCTGCAAATATTTTTTTTAATTTATTTTATGTGCATTGGTGTGAAGGTGTCAGATCCCTTGCAACTGGAGTTACAGACAGTTGTAAGCTGCCATGTGAGTGCTGGAAATTGAACCCAGGTCCTCTGGAAGAGCAGTCAGTGCTCTTAACCCCTGAGCCATCTCTCCAGCCCCATCTGCAAATATTAAATGAGGGGATGTGGCAGAAACTACCCCATGTCTTTCTAGGCCCCTATCAGCAATCAAATTTCCCCAAGACACATACAGTGAACAACAGATGCAATGATTTTATTGATATTGTTATCAGATGGGTGAAATTCAGTTGTGTGGATAAGCCACAAGGGAGCAAAAGTACCACAGTTTGCTTCCATGGAAAGTTAGGGCAGACTGACCAGGGGAACTCCAGGTGCTATGTCTTATATGCTGTTCATACAAGTCTTCCAGGATCACCACAGGAGATGAAGAATGGGGGGTGCTGAACTTGCCACCACCCTACCTCTTCAGTGACAACAACTAATGTAAAAAGAGCCCTGCCACAGAAGAAAGCAAGATCAGATGTGGGAAAGAGAGCACAGAGGACCAGCTTATGGGAAGTACAACCTTCATTTCCAGTGAGCCTTCCCTAATTCAACATAGACAGTAATGAGAAAACAGCCAATGCTGCATCTTGGGACACAAATGAGGAAAACTTTATAAGAGAAAAAAGGTAAATAAATTAGGAGCATATAACACAAGAACAACTACTCAAAGAAACACAGGAAGACTTCAGATAAATAGTTCTCCAAAGACTCAAAGCAACCATAGGAAATGTGACCTTCTTTTAAAAAAAAAAAAAAAAAAAAAAAACCAGCTCAAAGAAGAAAAACAAAGGTTCAAAGAAGAGATTATACAATAACAGAAGGAAATGAAAAACAAGCTGGTAGAGCTCAGAAAAAAAAATGAAGAGAAAAATAACACTATAGAGAAAAAAGCCACATGAAGAAGCAACCAAAAATAGAATGTGACTAAAAGAAACACCAGGACAGAGAAACTACACAACAAAACAGAGCCAGTAACATAACAGCAACGGTGAAGAGAACAGACTTGGAGAAGGAAGAAAGACAACACAAAAATACACAATTGCCTTCTTCAAAAAGGCATATAAAGCAAAGGACAGATGTAAAGCAAAGATAAGGCAAAGTAACTTCTCTGTTTTGTTGTTGTTGTTTGAGACAGGGTCTTACTACGCAGCTATGGCCAGCCTGGAGTTGACTATATAGTCCAGCTGGCATCAAACTTACAGAGATCTGTCTGTCTCTGCCTTCCAAGTGAAGGGATAAAGGTGTGTGCCACCACACCCAGCCAGAGTAACTTTTCAAAATTAAAAAACAAACAAACAAATAAACAAACATTGAATTTGTAGGCTTATGATATTAATGGAATTTTATGCCTAAAGAAATAATTATATGGCTACTTGGGCAAAAATAAGAATCTACACCCAAGGAAGGAAAAGAAAATAAAGTCAGCCTAATTAGCCAAGAGCAATGCCAACACAGAAAATCTCAGAGCAATTTGTTCCAAGTAGACCAAAGAAAACAAAGTAACTAATTTTATACCCAGCCAAGGTTTCCCTAAGATATAATATAAAAATAAATTATCTGTAATGTAGGGACTTAAAGGGGGTTCTGAAAATGAGACATCTTTATAAAACTACTAGAGTAAAACTACTCTCAAAGAAATACAGAACGATATATACAGTGTTCTATTCTTTCTTAAGAAAACACTAGGCACATGTACTTTTTGTTGTTTTGTATGTTTTTTGAGACAGTGTCTTGAATGTGGCCCAGGCTTGACACGAACACCAAATTCTCCTGTCTCTGCTTCCCAAGTGCTGGGAAGACAGCCCGGGACCATAACAGCTATCTTTAAAATTAAGTAACTTGTTGTTTGCTTGTTTGATTGCAGTGTTGGTATGGAGCCCAAGGCCTCTTATGAGCCAGGCAAGTGATTTACTCTGAACTACATCTCCAGTCCCCAGTGATATGCAGTAATGTAAAATTTTCACTATTCTTTACTTCCCAACAGGAAGATATACATCTCTCTGAGAAGGTGGCCTTTAAGCTAAGATCAGAAACATGAGTTGGAATTAGGCAAATATGCTACTATTTGGGGTGTGCAGAAGAATATACCTAAGAGGATAAAATGTTTCTTTCTTTTTCTTTCTTTCTTTCTTTCTTTCTTTCTTTCTTTCTTTCTTTCTTTCTTTCTTTCTTTCTTTCTTTCTTTTTTAAAGAAATCCAATCCTGTAAGATAGCTTAGTGGATAAAGCACTTGCTACACAAATGTGAGGACCTGAGTTCAAATCCCCATATCCCAAATAAAGCTGGATGCAATATCATGTTGCTATCACCATAGCATTAAAGAAGGGAGACTTCTCTGTTGTAGAATATTATTTTAACTAGGGAAAGATGTGTTACATTTGTTTATGCTGCAGAATATTATTTAACACATCTTTACACAGTTAAAGTTTGTTTATGCTGCATTTAATCATGTAAAGGTGTGTTACTTTTGTTTATGCTGCATTTGTTTAATGATGTAAGGATGTGTTTAATTATGTAAACATATGTTGCATCTATTTTACCTTGCCTACCTAAGGCATCTTGATTGGTCTAATAAAGAGCTGAATGGCTAATAACCAGGCAGAGAAAAGATAGGTGAGGCAGAGGGAATAAATAGGAGGAGAAATT